TGTTAGACACCACTTCCATGAACTGAGGGAGCATTTCTGAGGCTGGGCCATTTCCACTTTTATACCTATGTTTTTAATAAAAAAATGTAAACAAAGAGACATTCAGGGGTTGTGTCTGATGATTTTCAGTGACTGAAATAAAAAAAAGTTCAGTAAACTGGGGCCTCACATGAAAAAAGTGGCACTACTATAATGAGCATGCAGCCTCACAGCAATTTCATAGCCAATAATGTGCACGTTTCTACAGGTTTTGTTCTGTTCACGACGCAGTGGGTAGGATGGGAAACTCAATGGTGTGAAAACATGACTGGACACTCCTAAGTGTTATAGTGTGAAGTAACATTTCCTGCTTTGCAGCCATGTTGAACCAAAAGAGAGTTTTTGGTGTTGGAGGATCTGTTGGTCGCTCAGTGATAGCTGGACATGGGCACCGGCGACCCCGTGACCCAAAATGGAAGAAGTGGGTAAAAGATAATGGATGGATGGATCTGTTGATTGAGTTTTAGTCTGTCAGTTCAAGCTGTTTCTTGCTTGGTCCCTCATTTTGTGAAGACAGCCTGCTTTTAAAGTATTTACAAAAATTCTTCTCTCTTGATGATGTTAGCTCTACTCTAAAATGTTTGTAGCTTTTTTCTGTTTCAGTCTCAGTGGAAACATAAATCCTTAGATAAACTCTGTAGCATTTATGAAGTGAGACGGAGGAAGAAGGGTGACACGTTGTCCACTCCCCTCCACTACATTTGTTTCTATTTATTTAGCATTTGTTAAAGTGGGACACCAGCTGGTCAGTTTGTTGACCAACAACAGCTTAATATATTCACCCTTTAATGATAAGAATCAGTCACTGAAGTAGAATCTGTTCATTACAGGGAGTTCTATACCAGAACATATTAATATTCATCTGAATGAAGAGACCAATGTTGTCTTTGAAGTTTTATTACAAAAATAATTAAACTGAGTCAACAACAACAATAAACAAACAATAATAATGAATCAATCAAGGCTTAATTCTCTTATCTAAGGTAAAATTAAGTCTTTGA